CTCTCTGTCCCTCCTTTCCTCCCTCCCTCCTTCCTTCCTCGCCTCAACTTTCTCTCGCCTTCTCTCCCTCCCTCCCTTTCTTCCTCCTTCCCTCTCTCTCTCCCTCTCTCTCTCTCTCCCTCTCTCTCTCGCCCTGGCTATCCTGGAACTCTCTCTATAGACCAGGGACTGGCCTCGAACTCAGAGATCCACTGACCTTTGCCTCTAGAATGCTAGAATTAAAAGGAATTAAAAGCGTGTACCACTACTGCCCGTCAGTTTGCTGCATTATTAATTGATGTCGTTGTGTGCCGGAGTAAGATATTTTCCATAGTTATTTTGGAAAATATTCTGGGCGTTTTTTGAAGCATTGGCAACAACCAGGATGCTGACCTTAAAAAACTGTCTAGGACAGATGAGGTCCCCAGCTTGTTCTAAGATTTCCACTGGTCAGGTGGCTTTCCCCCTCTGCAGCAGCCTGCTTGTCTAGCGCCCCATGAGCTTGCACCTTTACAGGATTTGCTGACCCTGCAATTGCACTTTGGGTCATCGATTGCTGCTTAACAACATCAAATCCCACAGTTTTGATTTTCATCATTATTATGTACTTTCAAAAATTTTGACTAGATATAGGGAGGCTTTGAATTTAGGAAGCCAACCCAGAAGATCGAAGAAAAAGGTCCTATATAAACTAATGTCCAGTTTCAAATATGTTTTCGTTTGAGGACTCACCTTAGGACATGAATAAAATTCGGTAATGTATATCCGTATCTCCTTTTTAATACCTCATTTTATGCCCTCCCAGTCACAACCAAGATGTTATCTCCTGGTTTTCCTTTCCTCAGAAGCTTTTTTTCCCTTCCAAAGTATGTCTTTTTCAGCTCAGAACCTATTCAGAGAAAAGGCAACCTGAAGCCCTCTTTGAGAAGAAAAACAAGATAAAAATATGAAGCTGATTCTGAGACTGCATTGCAATGTGATTGGAATGAGTAATAGTTTAGCATTTCTCTCCACCTATCAAACGTGGGACTGTGCCATGTCTGCCTCGGTGAGGCGATATTACGACATGGGCCAGATAACTCAAAAAGCACATTACAGAGGGGGTCTCTATATATTGTGGCTTTCATTTTCTTTGGAGTCACTGGCAGAAGACATCAACTAGAATTTATGATTAAAAATTCATTTGTAGTGTATGGAAGCACAAAGAAACCTCGATCGTTAAAACGTAATCTGCCAACTAGAAAACATTCACATAAAGAACCAGGGGGTGGGCAGGAAACAGGGCATTATTAATCGGCAGCCGGGGCTGCAGTGATCGGTGGGTTCTGGTGCTTAGCCAGGTCCCTTATGTCAGGTTTCTACACCCTCCTATCCCCCCCCTCCCCAACACACACACACACCCTCCAGGGGCTCGCCCCACCCGCGGGGCCGGTCACGCTGCGTCTTTTCCTGCGGGAGCGCAGAGGGACAGTTCTTGCGCCTGCGCATTGTGTCGCTGCGCGCCTCCGAGGCCGCCGCCCGCGCGTCCTCGGGTTCTTTGTGCGCCTGCGCGCTCGTACACCTCTCCCCGCGGAGCTGGGCTGAGTCAGTCAGTCTGTCGGAGTCGGTCTTCGGAGCACCCTGCGCCGGGTACTTCGGGGAGCCAGCTGCCGGATTATTCTGTGTGCCCTCCCGCTCTCCTGCCCCACGTCTCGCTTCACCCCTCTCCCGCCCTTGCTCGTACAGCCATGGCGGAGTCGTCGGCGGCCACTCAGTCCCCGTCAATCTCCTCGTCGTCCTCCGGGGCCGAGCCGTCCGCGCTCGGCAGCGGCGGGAGCCCCGGAGCCTGCCCCGCCCTGGGGGCGAAGAGCTGCGGCTCCTCGTGTGCAGGTGAGGCGCGCGGGGAGCTCGGTCCCTGG